TTTTAATTAATTCAAATATCCAATTCTAGAATCCTATATGATGATGATGATGATGATGATGATGATGATATATATATATATATATATATATATATATATATATATATATATATATATATAATCTTGATGGAGATATTATTGACTTTGTATCATATTATTGATATTAAATATAGTTTAGTAAATGAGTAGTTCTACTTTCTTGTAGCATAAATGTTTAGATCATATATACAAGTAATGAATAGAGAACAATATCCTTTCTAATTTGGATTTTACTAATCTAAGAGTGTTTTTTTTTCTTTTGAAAGAAAAAAGAGTATATTCATTTAAGGTTTAGATATAAAGGATTAACTTACGTGTCATTTGCAGAAAAACAAAAACAAAGAAGAGTGAGATCTACCTAAAAGAGCCTTACATTGTTAGAGGATTTAGAGATGTGAGTGATCTTAACAATTTTGAATATATATATATATATATATATATATATATATATATATATATATATATATATATATATATATATATATATATATATATATATACAATCGCATACACTTTCAAGTTAACATCTTCCGAGATTGGTTTTAATCGTACGAAAGAGATTTTTCAAAACTGACATTTTTATCGCTGTATTAATTCACCCCCCTCTTAGTTTCGACTCGTTCCTAATAGATGGTATCAGAGCTACGTTTGTTTCTTATTTGGTTTAACACCTAAGAGAAATGACTCTTTTCGGCTTTCAAGAGGGTCACTCTCTCATTCGTCCTCCCTTGTTCATTGGGACGGACTACAGATATTGGAAAACTCGAATGAGCATTTTCTTGCTTTCTTTGGATTTAAATTTATGGAATATTATCCAAAGTGGTTTTCGAAGGTCTTCTCTTCCAATGAACCATTGGAATGATTTGGAGAAGATGACTTTTTCTTTAAATGCTAGAGCTATGAATGCTCTATTTTGCACCTTAAATAAAAATGAATTCAATCGGGTTTCTACTTGCGAAACGGCTTTTGACATTTGGCATATTCTTGAAATCAAAAATGAAGGCACTAGCAAAGTTAAAGATTCAAAAATCAACTTTTTAATACATGATTTTGAATTGTTTCGTATGAAACCAAGCGAAGCTATTGGAGACATGTACACCTGTTTTACGAATGTCGTCAATGGTTTAAAAGCACTTGGTAAAAGTTTTTTGGATTTTAAACTTGTAAATAAAATTTTATATTGTCTTCATAAGAATTGGGATTCAAAAGTAACTATTATACAAGAGGCAAAAGACTTAAACAAGTTTCCACTCGAAGAACTTATCGGGTCTTTAATGACATATGAAATGAGTTGCATGGTACAAAACGAGCATGAGAATAACCTTCCAAAGAACAAGAATGCTTTGGGACTTAGAACTATTGAAGACCACTCGAGCATAAACTCAAGTGATGGTAAACTTGAACTCCTCATTATGAAATTTTAAAAGGTTCATGAAATAAGAATTAAAGAACAAAAATAAACTTAAAAAGAATACAACTACTTGCTATAAACGCAAGAAAAAGGAAGCACTTTGGGACGAATCGAGCTCATCCGAAAATGAGGAGAAAATCAACAAAGGCGAGGTGGCAAACTACGCCTTAACGGCTTTCGACGACGAGGTAATCAAAATCCCCTTAGTTTATTTCAAAATTACATGATGCTTTTCATGAGTTATTTTTAATTTATTTTAGAAAAATTATTTTTCTTAAAAATTATATGTTTAATAATGTAATGAAAATGAAAAAAAAAATTGGGGATCATGCTTTTCTTTTTCTAGCTAATTTTGAAAATGATAATGAAACTTGCATGCTTTATAATAAAGGAACAAAATGTTAGACTTAAATCTAATGCTTCAGATAAATCCTATGTATGTTTTTAAGAAGCATTAATGTGTATCATATTGATTTCTGTATTGTTTCTCAATTTTGATTGAAGATGCTCCATGATTAATGGAATCATGTTTGATTTGAAATAATGCATAATGATAATGCTTAATAAGTTTATATTTCAAAATTATGCATGATGATTTTTGGGTAATTTATGGTTTATTGATCTTGATGATTTCAATGATAAGATTTACTCTTTCGATTTTAAACCATGATGGATGGTTTTTATACGAAAAAATTGAGCATACTTATATGAAATCAATCACTTAAATTGAAACAACTAAAACAAGAAAAATATTTTTTTTAATTTCTTTTTCTCTATCTTATTGATTTTAATGAATCTATTTGTATCATTTTTATGAATCTCTTAAAAGTAACTTTGTTGATTTAACAAATTGAATGATTTGAAGATAAATGATGATTTTTCTTTTGATTATAACTTGTGATATTTTATTATATGAATCAACATCTTGATTTCTCGATATTTGATACATGAGATTTCTCTATGAATCAAGATCTTGTTTTTGAACTCTTATGTTTCTTCTTACCATTTTTCAAAAAGAAGAAATTAATGAATCTATCTATGTTTCTTTTTGAATCTATTGAAAATGATTTTGATTTGACGATTTGAATTTGAATGAGTTTTATCCAAATCATAATCTTGATTTCTTGGAATTACTTAAGATTTTTTTTAAATCAAGATCTCTTCTTTGTACTCCTAAGATTTTTTTTTTTTTTGATATTTTCTTAAGAGGAGATTGTCTATATGAATCTTGAGAATTCTCATTCATGATAGGATATAAAGTAATTTGACATTTTGATACTGTCATGATTTGAAATATGTATGATTTGGAATGATGCATGCAATACTATGATTTGTTGCTAAAATGATGTATCATGAATGTTTGAGTATCATGTATGATATGTCCATAGTGATGATTTATTTTTAGTATCATGCATGAAGTAATGATGAAATGTAAGGTTTGAAATTGTGCTTGTTTTAATTTGAAACTATAATGATGCACAAATATATTGAAATAAAATTGATATTTTACCTTTGTCATGATTTAAAAATTATTGTAAAGGAAAAAGAATTATAAAATTAATTTCTTCCCTTCTTTTTGACAATGACAAAGGGGGAGAAAGAACTAGTTATGCTTGTTCTAAAATTATGTAAAATTTGCTAGCTTGCATGGTACAAATGTGTTAGCTTGCTTAATATAAAACTTGCTATCTTACTAGCTTGCATATCCAAAAATTACTATATTGCCCAACTCAAAAGAAAAGCAAGAATTACTAGCTTGCACATCTCAAAGGAGAAGCAAATATTACTAACTTGCATATTTCAAGAAGCAAAAGTTACGTTTTTGAACATCTCAAATATTACTAGCTTATATTTTTTTTAAAACGATGTAAAACTTTGCTAGCTTGCATGATGTAGAACTTGCTATCTTGAACATCACCAAAACTTACTAGCTTGCAATCTCAAGAGAAAAAATAGTGCTATCTTGCCTATCTCAAGAAGCAAAACATGCTAAACTTGCACATATAGCAAAATTTACAAACATGCAAAACTCAAATTTTTGCTAGCTTGCATGATGATAAAACTGAAGATTATATTTATAATGTAATGATTTAAACTGTAATATGTAAACATTTGATAGTTGAACATCTCCTTTTTGTTGATGACAAAGGAGGAGAAGTATGATGATATTATGCATAAGTTTATGATAACATATTGCTTGGATTTTTTAATCCAAGAGTTTTATCAATATGGCATATTGATAGGGGGAGTTAAGGTTAACTCCGTCATCAATTGGTTGTCACCATCAAAAAGGGGGAGATTGTTGAATATCATATTTTGATGATAAAACTAATTGATAATATTTATGATTTAATTTACGTTTTGAGTGACATAGGATGCTTCGATTAGGGAGAAACAATTAA